AAGAAAGAAAGAAAGAAAGAAAGAAAGAAAGAAAGAAAGAAAGAAAGAAAGAAAGAAAGAAAGAAAGAAAGAAAGGGGAACTCTTCAACTCTGTTGGTGGAAATGTAAATTGGCCTAGCCATTGTGGATAACAATATGAAAGTTCCTCAAAGATCGACAAATAGATCTATAAGCAATTCCACTCCTCGGTATCTACCCAAAGGATAGGAGAACACTCAGAAAAGTGCTTGCACATCTATGTTTATTATGGCATTATTCACGCTTGCTAAAATGTGGAACCAACCCAAATGTCCACAAACAGTTGAATGGATTGAAAAAGTGTAGCACATATACTCCATGGAATATTACCCAGCCATAAAAAAAGACCCTGGCATTTGATAGAAAGTGGACAAATATGGAAGATTTCCTCCTGAGTGAAGCAAGCCAGGCTCTGAAAGAGAGATATGGTGTCTCCACTTAACATATATTGATTGTCTGCATTCTATAGCAGAAACTGAAAGATTTGAGGATACAGAAGCATGGTACATGGTTATGGATAGTGGAGACAGTGTGGAAAGAGGTTGGGAGAAGACAGATAGTATAAGAAAAGAAATCCAGGAGGAAAACAGAGATGCAAGACATTTATAGGACACAGAAATGGATGATTATCTTTTGATAATAATATGTATAGTATCCTCAACTACACTGGTGCAAAGTGTATTCATGTTGGGTAAATTCACTTTATAAGCTATGTGATATATAGTGATTGAATGCATAAAATAAAATAAAATAATAAAAAAAATTGTCAAAAGGCACTGGACTCCCATAGGGCTGACTGAGGTTCAAGTCCTGGACCCAGTGGCTTGAAACTCACGATGGGCAGGTGTGTATGCATGCCCAAAATCCCAAAGGAAAATGGAAGAGAAGGGATTGTGGCATGGTCATTTCCCCTGGAGGAATGATTTCTTTCTTTCTTTTTTTCTCTTTCTGTCTCTCTGGTGAGCACATACACCCTATAGCAAAAATCTCTCTCAAAAAAAAGAATGGTATAGGCCCATTGTTCCATGGACTTTTATTAAAGATTGTTTTTGTTTTTAAAAATTAAAGAGTTTTGGGGCTAGCAGGCAGCATAGTGGTTAAGTTGCTGGGTCCTGCATACGGTTGACCACAGTTTGAGTCCTGGACCTGGAGGCTTGCTTTTTCACTTTCCCTCTCTCTCTCTGGTGAATTAAAAAAATAATAACAATAAATAATAAAAAATAATTCTTAAAAAAAATTTTCTTTTAAATTGAGTCTCTGGCAAAAACAAATGAAATGAAGTCCCCCCACACACACACAAGAGAGAGAGAGGAAGAATACTGGTTAATATTTTTAAAGACTTACCATGTGCCAAAGCACAGTTTCAGGTGTTCTGCATGCACCATCACACATCATACAATAAAACTAGGAGACAGAAAACATTATCCCTAAGATGGACTCAAACCCTTATCGATCTGAATTCAAAGTCCACAGCCTTAACCAGTCACCACATTGTGTTGTTTACTCAAGATGGAGGAAAAAACATTTGCAGAATAGTGGGTGTAATATGATCTCATTTTTTGTAAAGATAAAATTGTTATCTTTATTAAATGTGTATATTAAATATATATTTATTCAATATTATATATTTATTATATTAAGTATATATTATAGGGGCAAACAGGTAGCATAGCGGTTAAGGTGCTGGACGCCCACATGGTCAACTGTGGTTCAAGTCTCAGACCCAGCAGCTACAAACATACCAGACACGTTGTCATGCACACCCAAGAGAAGAACAGAGGAAAAGGGATTACAATTATATATAATTATTATATATAAATGTATTTAATAAATATGTATATAAAGAAATATCTATAGAATATAAGCCAAATTTAACACTAGTGGCCTAGTGGTAAGATTACAGGAAACAAGTCGGGAGCGAATGAGCAGGAGGTTGTTCAATAGCAGGAGCAGAGCAATGCCTAAATCAAAGGAACTTGTTTCTTCAAACTCTTCTGGCAGTTATTCTGACAGTGAAGTTGACAAGAAGTTAAAGAGGAAAAAGCAAGTTGCTCCAGAAAAACCTGTAAGGAAGCAAAAGACTGGTGAAACTTCTAGAGCTCTGTCATCTTCCAAACAGAGCAGCAGCAGCAGAGACGGTAACATGTTTCAAGTTGGGAAAACGAGATATGTCAGTGTTCGGGATTTTAAAGGGAAAGTTCTGATTGATCTCAGAGAATATTGGATGGATCCAGAAGGTGAAATGAAACCAGGAAGAAAAGGTATTTTTTTAAACCTGGAGCAATGGAGCCAGCTAAAGGAACACATTTCTTTTTTTCTTTTCTTTTTTTTTTTGAGAAGTTTTTGCTATAGGGCACGTGCGCTCGCCAGACAGACAGAGACAGAGAGATAGAAAGCGAGACATCCCCAGGGGGGACTGGTCACACCGCAATCCCTTCTCCTCCATTCTCCTCTCGGAATCTTGGGCACGCATGCACATGCGCCCAGCGTGAGTTTAAGCCACCGGGTCTGGGACGTGAACCGCAGTCGACTATGTGGGGAGTCCAGCGACATAGCCATTATGCTAACTGCTGGTCCCGAAGGAACACATTTCTGACACTGATGATGCAGTAAGAAAACTATAACATCTGAGCCATATATAAACCTGTACTGTTCTAGTTGTTTTTATCTGTTTTTTTATATTGACTTTTATTTTCTAAACGTTGTTTTCCAAGCTATTGTATATTTGGAGTGCAGAACAATTTGTAATATCAATACTTTTTTTAACGTGCATTATTAAAAATGTTCTGAGCAAAGCTAACTGTCAACTTTATTAAGGAGGATTGCCTTGTGCCCAGTACCTAGTGTAAAATAAAATCAAGTAATACAATCTTTAAAAAAAAAGATGACAGGAAACTTCTTCCTGCTTTGTATATGTCTATTTTCAAGTTTTGAAAAATTACTACTTTCATAATTAGAACAATAAATTTGAATTTTAAAAACAAAATTGGGAACAAATTATAACAACATTTTAAATTCTGACCAACTAAATGTTTAAACTTTAATTTTAAACAAAAAAATTCTTCTCTTTAGTGACTTTTGGGATGGTAAACCCACATATGTACTACTTAAACAAGGTTATGTCATCTCTATTTTTGGACACCTCTGTGCCTGGTGATGAAAGAACCAACTTTAAGTCTATTCGCACCACAGCTGATTTTTGGAAGGTAAGTATGGTGACTGTAGAAGAAATAACTTTAGGTATTTCATAAACCTTTGGTACACATAGTAGGCATTCAATGAATATTGGTTGAAGGCATGAGTAAAAATGAGTATTACTTGTTTAAACTATTAGAATTAACCATCCAGTGTTTATTGAGAATTTTCATTTTCAATATTTTAAAGACACTGTTCTTATAACTTTAAAAAATGTATATATACATTTATATATATATAATTTAATATTCTCATTTGGAAAATAAGAGATATGCTTCTTATGTGAGGGTTAGGGTCTAAAGTCACTCTGTAATTGTGTATAGTGAAAATTACTCTTATAGATTACTTAATTGCCAGGCCAGCAGATGGCATGGTGGTTGAGGGCACCAGTCTCCCACATGGCCGACCACAGTTCGAGTCCCAGACCTGGTGGTTTGCCTTCTCACTTTCTCTGTCTTGCTCTCTCTCTCTACCTCTCTGGTCAAATTAAAATAAATAAATAAAGTTAAATAAAATAATTATTTTAAAAAAGAGAGAGAGAGAGAGACTTCTTACTTGCCAGGGCCAGCAGGTGGCATGGTGGCTAAGGTGCTGAATTTCCCACATGGCTGACCATGGTTCAAGTCCCAGACCCAGCAGCTTGAAAATCACGCCAGGCATGTTTGCACGTGTGCCCAAAATCTAGAGATGAGAATGGAGGAGAAGGAACTGTGACATGGCCATCACCTCTGGAGGGTAATTTTTCACTGTTCCTTTCTCTGCCTCTCTCTGTCTTCCTCAAATAAATGCACATACCCTATGGCAAAAACCTAAAATTAAAGAAAAAAGTTCCTTAATTGCCCAGAAAATATACTGTGTGTGTGTGTGTGTGTGTACACGGTGCCCAGCATGCTTTTCAAGCTGCTGGACCTGTGACTCAGACTGCACAGCCATCCCTGTGGGATCCAGACACTTTAACTACCACGCTATAGGCTGACCCAAGAATCTGTCTAAAAACCAACAAATGAGATTATAAATTTAGCATGATCATGGTGGAGCCTACCGTTAACTAACAGTGTGACTCTGGGACAAAGCCCTTTAAAGCTCTGAGCTTCAATTCTTTATATCTAAAGAGGGGCTAGACTTGCCCTATCTACTCAAATGGTGTTTTTTTTTTTGGAGAGGTTTTTGCCATAGGGCGCATGCGCTCGCCAGAGAGAGACAGATAGAAAACAAGAAATCACCCCCCAGCGGGGTGGCCAAACCACAATCCCTTCTCCTCCATTCTCCTCTCGGGATCTTGGGCACGCACGCACACGGCATGAGTTTTAAGCCACCAGGTCCAGGACGCGAACCACGGTCGACTTCGTGGGAGTCCAGCGACATAGCCATTATGCTAACTGTGGGTCCCAAGTTTAATAATTCTTAAAAAAAAAAAAAAACTATTCCTTCAGTATTGGAATAGATTTGCTTTTTCCATTGCACTTAACACAGCAAGATGCTCACATTGTGAGGAAAAAAACAAGAGAACAACCATTTCAGATATTCTATGACACAGATATTGGGACATACAAATGAGGCAATTAAGGAAGTTTTTCTAGAGATGATAATTCAGTTGAATTTTTCTTTTTTTAAGAATTATCTAACTTTATTTATTATTATTTTTCAATTTGACCAGAGAAAGAGAGAGAGAAAGTGAGAAAGCAAGCCACTGGGTCTGGAATTTAAACTGCAGTCAACCATGTTGGAGCCCAGCACCATAACAATCACATCACCTGCCAGTCTCAATTCAGGTAAGTTTTAGAGGAAGGATAAGGGATGGGCTTCTAGAGAGAGGGAACATTATATGCTGTAAGTAATTCTACATGTAGAGCTTCATTTGGTATTGTGGACATATGGAGGTTGAGGTGATAGAAACCAAATTATGAATTGGACAGAGGTCACATCACAAATGCTAGGAATGTAAAACTTACCAAAGAGAGACAAGATCATTTTCTGAGTATGAGAGAATAAGTGTGAGATGGGGACTAAAATATCATAGGTCACAGGTTTGGGTCTAGTGAAATAGGAAAGAATGATAGGAGAAGTGGAGCTCACCCTGTCTCTTTATTGTGCTGTCTAGAGGTATGCACATGGCCAATGGCAAAGAAGAAAAAAGGAAGAAAGAAAAAACGACTCTTAGTCTTGTAGTCTCAGAATGAGCACATGGAGGCAGAGCAAGAAGTAGAGTCACCATGGCCAGAATTGAGGAGGAGGGGGGAGGAGTACAGACAACTTGAGGGTGAAGTCATGATTATGTGGCTATGACCAGCTTTGATACTCATGTATTTGAGAACAATTTTCAATACATTCTTCATATAAGAAAGGGAGAAGAAGGGTTATGGGATTAAATTAGTTAATACTTGTAAAGTAATTTGAGCAGTGCCTACTATATAGTAAGTGCTCAGTAAGTGTCTGCCATCTGAAGCAGCATTATCAATACCATTAGCATTAACAGTGGCTTCGTCAACAACTTTACTCATACTCAAAATCTCTTATGAATAATGTTATGAACATAGATTCTGTTGACATGAAAATATATTTCCTGTGACATTTCTTTCTATATGAAGTTTATGGAAGGACCTCTTTTGGAAGGTCTGTACTGGGACTCATGGTACAATCACCAACAGCTGTATAATCTAAAGAATAGCAGCCGCATCTACTATGAGAACATACTTCTAGGAGTCCCCAGGGTTCGTCAACTAAAAGTCCGCAACAATACCTGCAGGGTCTATCCATTATTCCAGTCTTTGATGAGTGAGTGTTATGGCAAATATACTTCTAAAAATGAAGACCTGTCTGAGTTTGGCCTTAAACGTGATACTGAGTAAGTAGTATAAGATTTATACAGTAACTTTTCCTAGCAGCTTACCATTGTGTCTTCTAAAAATTGTAAAAATAGGTATTTTCCATGTAAACCAGCTGGGGGCTGGCAAGTAAGGAGACTATTTCAATAATATTGGGTTGTAAGGAAAGTCATGACATATTTTTGCATAGAAAAATTTGTCGTGATTTTCTCAACAAACTAATAGTATCAAAAATAAGACATAGGGAGGGTAGGGGCTGGCCCCATAGTTCAGTGGTTAAGCACTGTATCTAAGAAGCTATAACCCACATAGCTGACCACAGTTTGAATCTTGGCCTAGGAGACTTGAAAAATACAAGAGGCATGTGTGTGCCCAAAATCCTGATGGGATGGAGAAATGGAGGAGAAAAGATTGAGATAATTGCCATGCCCCATTGGAGGGTACTTTTTTCTTTCTCTCTTTTCTTCTCTCTCTCTGGCAACTGCACATGTATTCTGGTAACTGAAAAAAAAGAGAATGGGTCAGCAATGTTTGGAAAAGGAAGAGTGAACCCTTTGGCTTTTTGCTTACCTCAAGATGCAAAGTGTTTTCTTTTCTCTGGACTATGATATATAAAGTACTTAGTCATATTGGACACAGGTCAAAGTGCCAAATTTTAGTTTCTCCAACAGTTAATCAATCAGCTTTTCTGGGTCTGTCCAGAGACTCAAATACATACCCAAACCTTTTGGGGATCTTTAGGGAGTACACAGGTGCGCTCTACCACTTTCTTCTTTTCTCATTCTGGCTTGATTCAATGTCTTCTTTAACTGCCAATATTAAAAGGGAAAGTTATGTTCTATAGGGCGCTGCATCTAAGATGCCTGCCAAGACACTAAAGCCATTGTTTTCTGGCTCAGTCTAATGCTGGTGTAAACACATGTCTATACTTTATATTGAAATGTGAAAGCCCAAATCCATTGACTCCATCTCTTCTTGTCACAGAAGCTGCTGGCATCAGTGCTGTTTATGCTTGGTGCTTTTAAAGTCCTACGAACATTTGACTGGAGACAGAATAAACTTTCTTTTGTAATTTAATATTTATGAAAATTATAACAATACATACAAAGGTATACCCTTTCCTACTCATAATTTCCACTCTAATAAGCAGCTTTTAGCTCTATTAGCTCTTCCTATTTCCTTTTTTCTTCTCTTTTCTTTTTTTTAGAGAGATTTTTGCTATAGGGTATGTATGCTTCGCCGGAGAGACAGAAAGGAACAAATCACACTCCTGGGGGATGGACACACTGCAATCCCTTCTCCTCCATTCTCCTTTTGGTATTTTGGGCATGCACACATACATGCCCAGCATGTTTTAACTAACTGGGTCCAGGGCTTAACAGCATTAGACTATGTGGGAGTCCAGTGACATAACCATTACACCATCTACTGGTCCCAGCTCGTCCGACTTCTAAGTAATACTCTCCTATTACTTGTTTACACAGTTTAATACACCCCTACAGTCTTTCTATCATGGAAGGGGATGTCATGTAGCCCTCTAATGCTACCCATTCTGCAAATTCTTCCTGTGCCTCTTAGCCATTCAGTATAGTTATAATCAATGTTAATAATTTGTCAATATTTATATTATAAGCATGAACCATGATTGTATTTCCTTTTTTTAAAGAATTATTTTATTAACTTTATTTATTATTATATCATTATTATTTTTCAGTTTGATCAGAGAGAGACAGAGAGAGAGAGAGAGAAAGTGAGAAAGCAAGCCACCAGGTCCGAGACTTGAACCGTGGTCGGCCATGTGGGAGTCCAGCGCCTTTAACCACCACGCCACTTGCTGGCCCCATCCTTTTTTTTTTTTTAATTGCTAGTGGGAGACAGAGAGAAAGAGAGAAAACACCTCCCAAAGGAATGTAGATACATTACAATCCTTTTTCCTCCATTTCTCCAGCCCATGCACACACATGGGCCTGGATTGTTTTCCAAGCCACCGTGGCCAAGATTCTAACTGCATTCAGTCATGAGAGATCTAGCTTCTATGCATAGCACTTAACCATTTTGCTTCAGGGCTACCCTTGTATTTCCTTTCTTGAACAACCTCCCCTGAACCCTCGGGATTAATAATGACTTTGCAACCATTTCTTCTTTGTATATAACTCTAATAAAGTTGTAAGTATGATGAAACATTTTCTTAGGTATTACAGTTCTATTCCTTCCTTTTCAACCCAAAATTACAAGATGAGTCATTTATTTGATTACACATTTTAAATTTCAACCTCTAATCTTTTAGCTATTCCAATATTGCAGATCTTGAAACAATTACAAATACTTTAAATACAAAAATTAACACTATAGATTAGGTTTATTTCACCATCTCTAATACTTAACAGAATTGTGACTAACACTGTACCTTTTATTCCTCAATAACCAAAATAAGAATCAATTTGTACTTGTTTTTCTATCTGAAATATAAAATTAATTGAGAACATCACCTGGGACTGGACATGTAGCACAGCTGTTATGGGCTGTACATGGAAAGCCAAATCCCACATGGCTCACCATTCTTTAGATTCTAGTCCCAATGACTTGAAATATATGTAAGGCACATGTGTGTGCATGCCCAAAATCCTGACAGGATGGACAAATGGAAGATAAAGAACTGCAGTGTGACAGTGGTCCACTAGGGCGTTTTCTCTCTCTCTGCCAAGCTCATGCATCTACAGGCAGTAATAGTTTTTAAAACATTATTAAAGGGGCCAGCAGATGGCAAAATTATTTCATCTATAGAATCCCACATAGTCAACTGCAGTTCAAGTCCTGGACCTAGCAGCTTGGAACTCACGCCAGGCATGTGTACATGCATGCCCAAAATCTCAAGAGGCGAATAGAAGAGAAGGGATTGTGACATGGCCATCCCCCGTAGTGGGTGATTTCTTGTTTTCTGTCTCTCTGTCTCTCTAGCAAGTGCATGTGCCTTATAGCAAAAATCTTTCTCAAAAAAAATATATATTATTAAAAATTAGAAGCTAGGAGAGAGTTGGCGTAACAAAATTACCTATTTCAGTTTATCATATGTAGAAAACACTCAAAAATTAGACTACAGAAATTTCATTAACATTTAAGGTTTTTTGTTTTGTTTTTAGTGGTGTCACTTTAACCCCTGCCAAAAACATAGTGTCATTAATAGGAAAACAAGTTCAAACAGTACATCTTTGTATAACCTTTCAAATCTGTTTTGGGGTAGCTGAATAGGGAGACTGAAATGAGAAATCAAGGATTTCTTTTTTGCTATCCCATGACTAAATGTCAAAAGAATGGAAACAAATTAGTTTAGTTTTTTTTTTTTTCCTTTCAGGTTTTTCCATAGGGCATGTGTACTTGCCAGAGAGAGACAGTGAGAAAGAAAGTGAGAAATCATCCCCCAGGGGGGATGGCCATGTGGCAATTTCTTCTCCATTCTCCTCCTGGGATTTTGGGCACACACGCCTGGTGTGATTTGATTTTCATCAGGTCTGGGATTTGAACTATGGTCAGCCATATAGAAGTCCAGTGCCTTAACCACCACACCACCTGCTGACCACCTAGTTACACACATTTTAACTTGATTTATGTACTTTCATTAAACAGTATGGCTTTGGGGCTGGCCCCATAGGCTAGTGGCTAAGGAGCTGGACCTCACATAGCCAACTGCATGGTTTGAGTCCTGGTCCCAGTGGCTTGGGAAAAAAAAAAAAAAAAAAAAAACCAACCACTGGGCATGCTCCCAAAATCACAACATAAAAAGAAAGGATTACAGAATGGCTATGCCCCACTGAGGGATACTTTCTCCTGCTCTCTCTGGTAAGCTCGCATGCTCTCTGACAATTTCAAAAATAATAGGATAGGACCAGCAGTTGGCATAATGGCTATGTTGCTGGACTCCCATGTAGTTGACCATGGTTCAAGTCCCGAACCTGGTAGCATAAACTCACGCTGGGTGCATGTGAGTGCGTGCCCAAGATCCCAAGAGGAGAATAGAGGAGAAGGGATTGCAACGTGGCCATCCCCCTTGGGGGTTGATATCTCACTTTCTGTCTCTCTGTGTGTCTCTGTCTTTTTGGCGAACGCATGCACCCTATAGTAAAATCTTCTCCAAAAAATAATAATAATAATAATAGGCTACCTCTGTAACAATATAAATATTGTAACAGAAATTTTATATGTTGGGTATTTATCAATTATATATGACTTTTAGACAACAATAAAGAATCTTTTTTCCCATTCTGATAAATTTCTAAATCAAAACCTTTGACATTCTTGTCCTCAAAGACTAACATTTCATGAGACAACATATTCAGGAAAAAAAGTAGTCATCTTTTTTTTTTTTTTTTTTTTTTTTTTTTTTTAGTTTACTATAGGGCACCTGTGGCTATGGAGGGAGGAAAGAGAGAAATAGAAAGTGAGGAACACCTCCAGCCCAAGGAGATGTCCATGTCACAACCCTTTCTCCTCCATTGTCTCCTCAGAATTTGGGGCATACATGCATACATGCACACCTAGAGTGTTTTCCAAGCCACTAGATAAGGATTCAAGCCATGTAATTGGCCTTGTGGGATCCAGGCACCATAACCTCCACAGCTCCTGCTGACCAAAAATTAATCATCATTTTCTAGATTCAAAGTTCCCTGAGGCATCAGATTGATTTTTGGAGAATTTTCTCATAGAACCTAATCACCCTGGTGTGTTGCCCACGATAAGCACTAAAAAAATAAAAACATTAAATCTTAATGCTTTTAACCTAATTCTTAACTCATCATTTCACTTCACAATTACTGTAATACTTACAGATTTACTATCATATTTTTAAGAACTGCTTTTGAATCTAAGATTAAATTCTTAGCTTGCTTCTCAATGGACTTTCTCATCTCTTCATTTTTCTTTTGATGTCAACCAGATGGAAATACTCTACTTCTAAGATCAACTCCCCTTGGCACTGGGGATTTGTTGGTGTTTACCGAAATGGAGGGTATATTTTCACATTATCAAAATCAAAATCTGAAACCAAAAACAAGTTCATTGACCTTCGACTAAATAGCTGGATCACAAGAGGGACCAGAGTTATTTTTATTGACTTTTCCTTATACAATGCTAATGTAAATCTGTTTTGCATTATCAGGTAAGTGACTCAAAACCTCTTTATTAGTCTATTGAATTTTAAAAGCATCTAGAGTCCTCATTAGGGTTTCCAGTTGTACACACTTGTGCTGAAATTAAAATTATAAGCATTCAAATAAATACTTCAGTGTAGTTCTAATGCCAATAATGAAAAAGGTAAAGCAACATTACACTCACTGTTTCATTATTTTAAGATATATTCAAGAGCATGGAGAATTACAATGTTTTGTATTACTTTATTTTAATTTAACTTTATTTATTTATTTATTTTTATTTGACCAGATAAGAACAGAGGGGGAGGGGGTGAGAAGGCAATCTGCCAGGTCCAGGATTCAAACCATGGTCAGTCATGTGGGAGTCCAGCGCCCTTAACCACCACACCACCTGCTGGCCCCATTACTTTTTTTTCTTTTTTTAAGAGGTTTTTGCGTTAGGGCATGTGTACTCACCAAAGAGGCAGAGAGACAGACACAGTGAGAGGGAAAGTGAGAAATCACCCCTGGGGGGATGACTACACAATCCCTTCTCCTCCGTTCTCTTCCTGGGATCTTTTTTTTTGGGGGGGGGAGGTTTTTGCTATAGGCCTCGTGTGCTCGCCAGACAGACAGAGAGAGACAGAGAGACAGAAAGCGAGAAATCACCCCCCCAGGGGGGATGGCCACGCCACAATCCTTTCTCCTCCATTCTCCTCTTGGGATCTTGGGTGCGCATGTGCCGTGCCCAGTGAGTTTAAGCCACCAGGTCCGAGACATGAACAGCGGTCGACTACGTGGGAATCCAGCGACATAGCCATTACGCTAACTGCTGGTCCCTCATCCTGGGATCTTGACATGCACACACACGCATGATTTTCAAGCCACTGGGTCCAGGATTTGAACCACAGTCAACCATGTGGAAGTCCAGCAATGTAACTGCTATGCCATCTGTTGGCCCCCTACAATGTTTTGTATTACTTAAGGATATATAGTCTTATTGTTCTGCAGTGGCATAGATTCTATTTTTAAGATTTATTTATGGGACTGGCAGGTGGCATAGTAGTTAAAGGTACTGAACTCCCACATGGCCAACTGTGGTTTGAGTCCCAGATCTGGTGACTTGCTTTCTCACTTTCCCTCTCTCACCCTCTGTTTCTCTCTGATAAAACTGGGAAATAATGATGGTAAAGTTAAATTTGAAAATTATTTTTAAAAAGATTTATTTATTTTTATTTATCATCTTTTTTTTTAATTTGTTATAGGACACATGCTCTCACCAGAGAGAGAGAAAAAAAAGAGAGAAAATGAGAAAGCAAGCCACCAGGTCTGGGACTCAAACTGCTGGGAGTCCAGAGCCTTAACCACCACACCATCTGCTGGCCCCATGGAACAGATTTAACATTTAGTCTTGATCATTTCTTCCTCTAATATCATCAGAATCTGCTGTTTTCAGAAAAAAATGTGCTTCTTTAGTTACTTAATTTTGTCTCAGAATGAAATTTTTTTTATTTTAAAAGCGAAAATCACAGAACTTTATTTTCAACATAAAACTACATTTTGACTGTTAAATGTATCTTCCCTTGGGACCAGCAGTTAGCGTAATGGCTGTCACTGGACTCCCACGTAGTCGACTGTGGTTTGCATCCTGGACCTGGTGGCTTAAAACTCACGCCGGGCGCGTGTGCCTGCATGCCCAAAATCCTGAGAGGAGAATGGAGGAGAAGGGATTGCGGCGTGACCATCCCCCCTGGGGGGTGAGTTCTCACTTTCTGTCTCTCTGTCTCTCTCTGTCTTTCTGGCGAGTGCAGGTGCCTTATAGCAAAAACCTCTTAAAAAAAAATGTATCTTCCCTTTGCCCCTCAGACACACCCTCTACTACCTACTCTCTACCATCTTTTTCCCTCCTTTACAGTCTCTAGTATCTACATTATCATCTCTACTATCTTTTCTTCAGATCTTTCCATTTCTGCCATAGAGTCCAGACATTCATTATGTATTGAATAGGGATATACAATGTGTTTCTTTCAAAGTCTGGCTCACTTCAGTGAACATTAAAACTTCTGTATCATTTGAATCAAATAGTAGGGTCTCGTTATTTATTAGGGTCCCATAATCTTCCAGGGAATTTAAACACTTTACCTGAAGTTATCTGAGGATAGATAAATGATTTAATACATTAGAGTTCTATTAGAAAGGTGGAATAGATAATGACTGTGAAACTGGATAATGACATTTCTTTTCTCTAAATGAAATGTGGAATTGGAGTTTAATGAATTTTGCCCTTGTGCAATAGTAACAATGAAATATACCATACATTTAAAATTTGTAAAAATTAATAAAACAAATGAACTACCTTATGCAACCAATAGGCGTTATACTTTTTATTTTAGGGTTTTTATTATTCTCTTGAGAAATTAGAGCTTTTACTAACATCATTCACCCTTCTCAAGAGTTGTGATCAGGGATTTCAACCACCAAAGACCCTCTACCCAGACTTCACCCTCTTACTCCCCAGTCTAGCCAGGAGCCAGGATAAGCCAATCAGCAGGCATCTATCTTTGAGGTCTGAGTAACCCCATCCAGGGATTTCAACCACCGAAGACCCTCTGCCCAGACTTCAACCTCCTGCTTTCCCCAGTCTAGCCAGGAGCCAGGTTACAACACCCTAGGTATTCTCTGTCGCTTTCCATATCTCTCTATATATTCTTAATTGTGTTTTAATTTTTAAACTTAGCTCTCTGCTTCTCTTTTGCCTTTCTAATTCTTACCTTTCCCACTGCCCCCACAGGATAAGCCAATCAGCAGACATCTATATTTGAGTTCTGAGTGGCTCCATTTGTGAGACGTACTAGCACGCAAGGCGATTTTCATTTTTTGATAAAAAATGTTTTTTTCTCTTTTTCTTATTGTTTTTGTCTTTTTTTCTCTCTTCTTAGGTTTGTTTCTATTTCTTTTCCTTTTCTTTTTACCTTTCTCACTTTTCTGTTCTGCCTCCACACACTGATTTTCTAGACAGGTATAGGTGCTCAGTAGCTAAATATCTGAATACTTGTTAGGGTCAGATTAATCCTCAATTTTCATTGAATCAGCTGTACAAAGGGAGAAAAATGGTACTATTTATAGACTGCAGGACACCTCCTTCTGCATTCCTCTGATTGCTCAGATTTAACTCCAAAAAATAGGGAAAAAAATGTATAATCCATCAGATGACCAGAAACCACCACAGAGGTACAAGAAATATGAGAAACCAAGAAATTATCTCCCCTTTAATGGAAAAGAATAACTCCTCTTCCTCCACAAAGAATACAAGGGAATTCATGGAAATGTCAGATAAATAATTTAAAATAGTCATACTGTCACAGCTAACAGAGATGCAAGAGAATAGAGACAATGAACTCCAGAAGATGCAGGAGAAAAGAGACATCAAGTTCCAGGAGGTGAAGAAGTTCTTGCACAATCTGAAAGAGGAGATACACATCATAAAAAAGAATCAAACGGAATTTGTCAGAGATAAGGGTTGTAATACAGGAAATCAAAACTTCTGCTGAGGGACCAGCAGTTAGTGTAATGGCTATGTCACTGGACTCCCATGTAGTCAACCGCTGTTCGAGTCCTGGACCTGGTGGCTTAAACTCATGCCAGGCATGTGTGTATGCATGCCCAAGATCCTGAGAGGAGAATGGAGGAGAAAGGATTGCAGTGTGGCCATTCTCCCAGGGGAGTGATTTCTCACTTTCCATCTCTCTATCTCCCTCTCTCTTTCTGGCAAGCACATGTGCCCTATAGCAAAAATCTCTCAAAAAAAAAATCTGTTGAAAATATCAAAAGCAGATTAG